TAAGTGCATATGGAACATTCTTCAATGTAGACCATATATTAGACTACAAAATCAGGCTCAATCAATGTTGAAATAATATAAAGTATCATCTCCAAGCAGTAACTGCAGGAAAATTGGAAAATGGACAAATATGTTGAAGTAAAACCACACACTCTTAACCAGTTGGTAGAAGAAGAAACCACAAGGGAAATTAGAACATACCTACAGACAAAGGAAAACAAAGCCACAGACTACCAGAACTCACAGGATGCAGCAAAGCCCAGAGAGGAAATTTACAGCAGTAAATGCCTACATTAGGAGGAGGATAGATGGGTCTTACAGCAGTACATAACTTCACATCCTAGGGGTCTGTGAGAAGAGTAAACTAAACCCAGAGCTGATGGAAGGAAATAACATTGGAGCAGAAATAGATGCTGGCAAAGCAATAAGAGAATGTAATTTAAAAGTTTTTTTGAAATGATCAACAAATGACAAAACAACACACTGAAAATCAAGTGAAAATGGGATGGGGACATTATTACCGACTATACAAAAGTAAAAATGAGTAAAAAACAGTTGCACACCAACAAATTAGATAACCTGCATGAAAGAGCTAAATTTCTCTTTTGAGACAAATTACCAAGAGTGACTTAAGAATAGGTAGAAAGTAAGAACAGACTTATAACAATTAAAGATTGAATCTATAACTTTTAAAACTAACAAACGAGGGCCAAATGGCATCACAAGACATTTAAAGGATTTATGCTAAGTGTTCTCAAGCTTGCAAACTATACAAGAGGAAGGATAATCAAAGACACCACAGGAGAAGAAAATTATACATTAAGACATTTTGTGACTGTATATACAAAACCCTCAACAAAATGCTAGCAAACTGAATCCAGCAGTGTTAATAAAAGTGTTATATCCCATGACCAAGTGGGATGTATCCCAGGAGCACAAGAGTGGTTCAACATAAGAACCAATCAGTGTCATTTACCACATTAATTGAATGAAGGGGAAAAGCTATAATCATTTCAATTGATGAAAAAAAAATGTATTTGACAAAACCAAATTCATTTTCACAATGAAAACACTGAGAACTCCATCCAAGGCAACTTCCTCAACATGATAAAGGGCATTCATGAAAAACCCACAGCTAACATCATGTACATTAGTTGCCAGGGTCCAGCCCCAGCAGGATCCAGGGGGTACCCTTAGGATGAACGGCGTCGGCGAGAGAAGACACGTGAGACCAGCCTTGATAGGGCCAAGTCTGCGAGGGAGAGAGAGAGAGAGAGAGTGACCAGACGGGGGGTGCAGCAGAGTCTGGCCATGTTTTATTTTTTACCGTAGCTTTTATACCCTAAATTAGTACATTTCTAAGGGGAAGATAGTTTAACATTACATCAGCTTGTCCTTCACGAAACCAGGGTGTTTTCTGCATACTTCTTTGTTTATGAGTGTCTTGTACATTATCTTCTGGCCTTGGGGTTTATTAACATTTTATGCAAGTCAGGTGAATGTAAACCTATTTTCTGTTTCTATGGTGACCTTAACTGAAAGGTAGCAGTCTCATAGGGCAACAGTACAAGCAGAAGTATAACCTTGTTAACACAAAAATTAATCCTTCTGCAGAAGTTGTCAGTTGCATTTATCTAAGAAGTTTACCCCACACAGACTCTGTGGCTTCAGTGAGGCAGCCTCTGCCTAGCACTCCTGGCTGACAATTAGCAACCATCTTATTGTTACCACACTAGGGCTAAGCTCTTATTTTTCTAGATCTATAACTATATTAACAATGGTTTCTATAACACAACCTTAGCACATTAAGAGCGAAAACACAGCAAGCAAATGTTAACGCAATAACCACCTTTAGAATAATTTTTCTTGTGTTTTCTAATAGGGCTTCCTCACCCCTGAAGGGCTCTATGTCTATTAGGGCCTTTGTATGATCAGGTTCTTTATGTTATTTTATGATTAGGGTATTATAAGCAATAATGCATATTAGTACCAAGGGCATAAAAGCATTTGCCAAACAAACTAAAATACCAGCAAAGGAGTTTAAATTAAAACACTCCTTTCACCCTGGATAATCTCATAAAATACCACCACCCGGGAAACTTATTGATTAAAATTCTAAATTGATTCTTATTTGGGAAGAGATCGGGGAAGGCCTTCTGCCTGTGTCACAGAAATTAGGGAGTAGTCTATTGAGGCAGGCATCAGAAAGACAGATATCATCTTTAAGGTGAGCGCCGGGGGCAGCTTTTCGGAATCCCTGAAAACCTGATCTGCCTTGCCTGTCAGGTTTTCTCCTCATGACCTTGTCATGGGTGGGATCTTGTGTGCCAGCTCCCAGCAATTAGTGAAATATTAAAAGGTTTTCCCCATAAATCAGGAAAATATGCCTGCTTTCACCTCTGCTCTTCAGTATTATATTGGAAGTTCTAACCAGAGCAATCAGGCCAGGAAAAAAAAATAAATAAAAGGCATTCAAATTGGGAAGGAAGAAATAAAACTGCCTCTGTTTGTATAAGGCACAATCCTATATATATAATAAGAAATCTTGAAGAATCCATTAAAAACGTGCTAGAGCTAATATTAAATGAATTCAGCAAAATTGCAGAGTACAGGTCAACACACAAAATCAGTTGTGTTTCTATACACCAACCATGGTGGGAATGTAGAATGATATAGCCATGGTGGAATACAGTTTGGCAGTTCCTCAGAGTTTAAACATAGCATTATCATGCATGCATGCTCAGTCACTTCAGTTGTGTCTGACTCTTTGCAACCCTATGGAGTGTAGCCCGCCAGGCTCCTCTGTCTGTCGGATTATCCAGGCAGGAATACTGGAGTGGGTTGCCATTCCCTCCTCCAGGGGATCTTCCCAACCCAGAGATTGAATATATGTCTCCTGCATTGGCAGGCGGGGGTTCTTTACCACTAGCACCACCTGAGAAGCCCTGGCATTACCATGTGACCCAGTAATTCCACTGCTGGATACATACCTGCAGAATTCAAGGCAAATACTCATCAAGTACACATACGTCATGTTCATAACACTGTTCACAGTAGTTAAGAGGTGTAAGCAGCTCAGATGTCCCTCAGTGAATGGATGCAGAAACCAGATCTGTTGTGTCTGTACCGTGGAATATTATTCGGCCATAAGGGAGTGAAGCACTGGTACATGCTGCAGTGACTGAACCTGCAGAAACATTAGGTTGAGAGGAAGAGTCCAGACATCAAAAGTTGTGTATCATGATTTCATTCACATGCGAGGTCAGGAATGAGGTAAATCCATGGAGACAGAATGCAGGTGGGTGTTCACCAGGCACTGGGGGCCAGGAGATATGGACTAATGCACTGGGGCTTTGAGGTGATGGAAATGAAAGGTCTTGGAACAAGATACAGATTTTGATTGCACAACATTGTAAATGTACTAAACGCCACTGAAGTGTTCATTTAAAACAGTTATTTTGTTTGTGAACTTCACCTCAATATATAACAGTAAAATGAAAACAGAGCCCCTGTGGGGATGGAGAGGGGTGGAGCCCCTGGCCGAGGCTGTGGTGCTGGGGGCTTGTGTGGTGGGGCAGGTGCTGCTGAGTCTCTGCTGGGCCCCTCGACAGCCACAGCCACGCGAGGACTCGTGAGCATGGCTCCGATGGGGCACTTTTCACAAACCTGGGAGCAGCCAATCATACAGGCCTCCATTGTTTCCTCTTGGGAAGTCTAACAGGTTTGCTGTGTGCTGGCTGGCCAGTCGGTGCCACACTTGCAGAGGCAGTGTGGCAAACAAGCGCATTTGTTTACACATCTTTTCCTTCACCATTAAACCCAGTGTTTTCAATGAAAATTTTTCTTAAAGCATATTTCTGATTTTATATTTCCTTTGAAAAAAAGAACTTTCATTATTGTTTCCAGTAATTCTTATGTTGCAGGGAATTGTATCCAGTCTAGCAAATCAAAAATGCCATTACCCTCACCCATAGGACTCACTCTTGTTTCCCGTCTCTGTAAAATCCTTCCAGGCCAATAGTCTCTCTGGCCCCAAAAGCAGTTCCCGTTTCCACTCCCTCAGAAGCCATACCAATGACCTTGTCTCAGGGGTCAGTGAGCCATGGCCCACAGGCCAGACCCAGCTCACCAGTTGTTTATGACCTGCAAGCAAAGAACAGTTCATGGTTTTTTAAGGATTGTAACAGAGCAGACCTTATGACAGAGACTGCAGCGACAGAGCCCGGAATGGGTCTTCTCTGACCCTTCATGGAAAAGCCATGTCCCTTCTTGTGCAGTCAGGAGAAGGCAGGGCTCCCTGGGCCACCCTGTCCAGACCCTTGTTTCCTGCAGTGACTGCCCTGTTTGTCCCTGCAGCCCTCACTGTGCCCCCGTCACACATGGGAGCCCCGCAGGTGCCCCGCAGCTGAGGCCTTGGGAGAAGATGGTAGCCCACCTGCAGGTGTGATGACAGGCCTGCCTGAGGGTCAGCAGGAGGGTGAAGCAGGGTGCCTCATTGTGTGTAGCCACATGGTCAAGCTCCATGGAGGGGGTCTTGGCACAGACTCTGTGCAGGGCCTTCTAGCTGGGCCATGAGTCAGGTGGCCAGAATGCAGATTGTCACCACCAGACACATGGGCAGGGCAGTCAGGCTGAGTGTACGATTCAGTTGGGTCTGTACTGAGGAGAATAGAAGACTCCAGGTGACATGGGGAGACAAAATGCTGTTGTGGGGGGAGATTCCAGAAGTTCCAGTAGGGGAATGGTAATCATTCCTGAACTGAGGGGCAGGTCAGAGGGCAACAGGCCCAAGGAGGCTGAGACTACCGTGGGGTGCCCTTCACCCACCCACTCAGCACCCCTGGGTGGCCCCAGCCTTGGGATACGGAGCCCTGTTGGGAGCAGTGGTCAGAGAAGTCCTCTTCTGGGAGGTGTTTCAGCTGAGATGGGCTAAAGGGAAGGAGAGAGCATGAAGACCATTGGGGAGGGGCTGCCATGTGACTTTCTGTTTGTCATTTCAGGCTGGGACACCAGGACTAAGGGCCAGGAGTTTGTTCAGAAGGAAGACACTTCTGAGGACTTGGAATCACAGGTAGAAATATCAGACAGCTCTGGCAGTGATGCTCCACAGACACCTGAGCTTGGAGGACTCCGTGGTGGTGTAGAAGAAAGGGACTGGGGGGTCCTTGAGGACGAGAGGCAGGTGCACCACCCTCACCCGGAGGGGGCCTTCACTCTAGTGCAGATGCTTCTCAGGAGCCCCTCAGGAGCGGGAGAGGTGGACTGTGGTGAAATCAAGAGCAGCTGCAGCCGGAGCCCAAGCCCAGTGGAGTGTCAGGGGCCTCCTGCAGTGGGGAGGCCCCATCCATGTGGCATACAGAGCCTGCCCTGCAGCCTGGACCTGCCCAGCTGCACAGGACTTCATGTGGCCGAAAGCCCGTTCATATGCAGCGAGTGTGGGAAAACCTTCCAAGGAGACTCCGATCTTACTCAGCATCAGACAGTGCACCCTGGACACAAGTCCTTCATCTGTAACGAGTGTGGAAGGCTCTTTAGCACACACACAGTCTTCCTCCAGCACCAGCTCACCCACCATGGGGAGAAGTTGCATGTATCTTCTGAGTGTGGGAAGGCCTTCTGCCAGAGCCTCAGCCTTAAAAAGCCCCAGAAGTCCCATGTGAGCGAGAAGCCCTACGAATGCAGTGAGTGCGGGAAAACCTTCAGGCGCAGCTCCAACCTCACCCAGCATCAGAGAATCCACTCTGGCGAGAAGCCGTATGTGTGTCATGCCTGTGGGAAGGCCTTCAGGCGCAGCTCCAACCTTGTCAAGCACCAGAGGGTCCACACAGGGGAGAAGCCCTTTGAGTGTACTGAGTGTGGCAGGGCCTTCAGCCAAAGCTCACACGTGAGGAAGCACCAGAGAGTCCATAGTGGGGAGAGGCCTTACTCATGTAGTGAGTGTGGCAAGCCCTTCAGCCGGGTGTCCAACCTCATCAAACACCACAGGGTCCACACGGGGGAGAAGCCCTACAAGTGCAGTGACTGTGGGAAGGCCTTCAGCCAGAGCTCGAGCCTCATCCAGCACCGGAGGATCCACACCGGGGAGAAGCCTCATGTGTGTGCTGTGTGTGGCAAGGCCTTCAGCTACAGCTCGGTGCTCCGAAAGCACCAGATCATCCACACAGGGGAGAAGCCGTATGCGTGCGGCGTCTGTGGGAAGGCCTTCAGCCACAGCTCTGCACTCGTGCAGCACCAGGGTGTGCACACGGGCGACAAGCCCTACGAGTGCCGCGAGTGTGGAAAGACCTTTGGCCGCAGCTCCAACCTCATCCTGCACCAGCGGGTCCACACGGGAGAGAAGCCCTATGAATGCACTGAGTGCGGGAAAACCTTCAGCCAGAGCTCAACTCTCATTCAGCATCAGAGGATCCACAACGGGTTGAAACCCCACGAGTGTAACCAGTGTGGCAAAGCCTTCAACCGGAGCTCCAACCTCATCCACCACCAGAAGGTCCACACTGGAGAGAAGCCCTACACCTGCGTCGCATGTGGGAAGGGCTTCAGCCAGAGCTCGCACCTCATTCAGCACCAGATCATCCACACGGGCGAGAGGCCCTATCAGTGTGGTCAGTGTGGGAAGTCCTTCAGCCAGCGCTCCGTTCTCATCCAGCACCAGCGGATCCACACGGGGGTGAAGCCCTACGACTGCACGGCTTGTGGAAAAGCCTTCAGCCAGCGGTCAAAGTTGACCAAGCACCAGTTGATCCACACCAGGGAGTGAAGCCCTCGCAGCTTCACCCTGACCTCCTGGCTGTGCCTCACTCTCCCTCCCCAGACTTGAGGTGGTCTCACTCGCTCCGTCCACTCCATGGTCACCGCCCATGAGGCCACCGTCCACAGACTGGGGACCCTCTTGTGGGTTGTGCTCCTTCTCCCAAGTCCCCTGCCATCACCCTTGTCTCCTGTGAGCTCATTTCTCTTTGTTGTTTGTTTTTCCAGTTTGTTATGAGACAGCTGTACTTGTTAGAAGGGAGAGGATTATAGAGGCTGTGCACTCCTCTGTAGAGTTTATTACTGTAAAGGAACATAACCAAGAAAGTAAATGACATTTGGTTTGAGACAACCACAGACCTTCATGTGCTCACTAGTCAAGGGACTGAGTCCTTTGTCAGTGGTTGTGGCTGATATCTATTTTCATAATGTCAGGTTGAGAGTTTTCAGGTCTGGTTGCTGTCACCACTGCCCGCCCCCGCCCATCCTGCCTGGTAATGGGACTTGACCCACCCTGCTCCCCCCTTTCCGTGGTGTCCGTCTGCAGTCTGTGGTTGTGTGTTCTTGCTCTATGGTGGCTCAGGCCCTGTGGCCCCACCCAGGCTGCAGCACAGTTGTACATGAGGCAGTTCCTGAGCTCTGGTCCTGCCCTCACCCACAGGGGCCACTCTACATGCTCCTCCCTTCCTCTCCTCAGGCTCCTGGATCCATCGCCAGACATTTACAGGGCATCTAGGTGCCCCTAAGAGGTGGGCATTGGCTCCCGACTCCCTGCACAGGGGAGCTTAGCCTGGAAGCCACGCTTCTGCCACCAGGGAGGTCCTGACCTGGGAATGTCCTGGGAAGGATGGGGGACCCTTCCTGCACTCTTCCAGGAGGAAAGGAGGCAGTGACTTGTAGTCATGAAGGGAAGGGAAGGTGTGACTTCTGAGTTCTCAAGGAAGCAGAGGCAAGGCCAGCAGTTGCAAATGTGGAGGGAGAGATGGTTTGAGGCTGGAGAGAAGAGAGGGTGGAGGGGTGATTCGGATGCGCAGGCGAGTCCATGGGCTTGGGTGGCACGGGCTGCCCAGCCTCCCCTCCAAGGCCCCGTGAAGCAGCTGTCCATGCTGCCCTGCAGAGGCCCTGTCATACCCTCCCCTACACTTTGGGCGCCATCCCACCCCCTCTCCCCTGGCAACACCTAATGGGATACAGTTTCCAGACTTGGCCTCAGCCTGAGGAGACTGCTCCTATTCTTACTGTCAGGCAGCTCCTCTGGCTTCACGCTCCTCCTCCGCCAGTCTGGCTTTGATTTATGATTCCTTTTTTCAGTAAGTAGCTGTGTCCGCCTCTACTCCTGCTCTGTCGCTGATTGGCCCGCTTGCTGCTGGCCCGCGTCACTCAGCCCTGCTGCACGTGGTGCGCTGTCACATCCTCTGCTACGGAGTCGGAGACTCCTCCAACAAAAGAGGCTAAAACTGGTGCAGTGCCAAATTTGTGCAAGACTCCTCCACGGAAGGGGCTTCAGCCACCTCCTGCTAGGCCTCCTGGAGTCTCTGGACCACTCATGATGGCACTCAGTTGTCCAAGGGCTTCTGATGCAAGAAACTCCCTTCTTTCCCGCATACAATATGCCAATAGAGCTGCAGTTACTGGAACTGGACCTCCTGAGCCCATGACCCTCTGTACCCAGCTGCTCATTATGCTCTGGGTCACAGAAGCAGTATCCAACAAGCTTAGGGGCTGTGGAGCTGCTTTGGTGCAGGATGGAGCTGAACCTGGGCGTTTGGCCTGCTCCACCTGCAAGAGGAATAGCCTCACCTATCCTCAGCCCCTTTCCAGATGTCAGGCTGCTGGACCCTGTCCACCTGGGCAGCTCCAAGTTGGGATGAATTCGGGGGAACAGCAGTGGGAGTTCTAAGACTATAGGCAGAGAAGTGCCAACCCTCACGGAAGATGGAGCTTAGAGGAGAGCTGCTCATTTTTAACCAGGACGACCCTGATACAGGGCCAGACTGGAGGGTCAGCATGACTGGCCAAACACCAGGCAGTTGTCTTAGCACCCAGTGACTTGACTCACAAACAGCCCCATCTGCACATTTTTTACAAACTTGTGCTGTCACCTAAGAATTGTGCCCTTTGGTGTAAAAAGCTCCAGGAATCTCTTGCCTCACAGATGCCCCAAATACCAATCAAGGTCTATAGATGGCTCTCCCTATACTTAAGCAGAACATGAGGCCTCCCCTGCATGCCCTCATCCCCTCCAGAGTCCCAGGTTTTACTGAGAGTGGCCAAGGCACTCTTGTCAGTTTTACCTGCTTCAGGCTGCAGGCTGCAGAGTCCACACAGCTCATTTAAACAGGCTCTGAATTAGCTGAGTGAAACATGGTGTGTCTCGCATCAAACATCAGGGTGAGTGGTGACTAGCAGGCTGGCGCCTTGTGGCCTCATCCTCCTCATTTTGTGCCCACATCTGGAAAAGCAGAAGAGCCAGCCGAGTGCTCTGTCCTTTGATGCCAGCAAGAGACTGAAAGCATCCAGGCCCTCACCTATGCTCAGGGACCTTCCCTCCAGCCATACCTGCTGACCTCAGTAGAGGCCCAGGCTGATGACACTTCTTGCTCTCTCAAGCCATCTCAGATCTGTTCCAGAGGCCTTCTCTACCCTCCACAGAGACCTCCTTTATGTAGATAATAAAGCTTTTCATACCTTCAAAAAACCAGAAGCCCTGCTTGGCCTCCACACCTTCCACTCTGGTCTTTGGTTTATGGACATCAAGTTCCTCTCTACTGTGACTTCTCCCTCAACTCCTTGTTCTAACAAAAGCCTGGCTGCTGTGACTGCACAAGGTCCCTGGAGCCTTTCCCATGTACCTTGAGAATTAGAGATCAGGAGGACAATCTCCTGGCTCCTGATTTCCACCTCCATACACATCTCTCTTCAGCCAATAATGCCAGCTCCATTGAGAACAACAGACAAGCAGCCCTAACAGCTCAAAGCTGCCCTGGTACCAACCGTGCCATGATTATCCATGTGCTGGCAGAGCTCTGGGAGACTCCTCCATGGATCCCACAACCCAGGCCTCACAAATGATGAATGTAGGGGAAAAGCTGTCCCTTGACACCAAGGGCCTCTCTGTGCAAGGAGAAGCAGGGAGACTGGAGTGGTGTGTGAGAGCAGGGCCAGGGTCCAGGACCATCCTGAAGTTTCCATGGAGGCAACTCAGGTCTGAGTGGAGAACAGAGCCTTGATGGCTGAGGACAGTGCAGGCCATGCCAGAGCAGCCAACCACGTAGGATAAGGTTATTCCTTTCCCCTGGGGCTTGGCAGACACTGGCCCCTGGGCTTCCCTGGAAGTAACACAAAGGCATGGGGGGAGGTGGAGGTGGCCTGACTGCAGGTACCCTATGAGGCTTATTCTGTGTGCAGGCTCTTCTGTGCTCATGGGCCAGACTGTGAATCTTCCAGACATCAGAACATTGACTGGGGAGACCACTGCCTATTGGAAATGTGATAGAAAGATGGCCTCAGATTTAGGGGAAAGGACCAATCTCATCCTATATGGGAGCAGGGTAACAAGATAGCCTTTTGGAAAAAAGACAAAACTAGACTTACTCTTTACATCTCTTAGAAACTAGACTTACTCTTTACATCTCTTAGCAGAATAAAGTCCAAATGGAACAGAGATTTAAATGAAAAGAAACAAAACCAAATGAGTACTGGGTGAAAACATGGGTGGATTCCTCCAGAACTGGTAAGTTAGGGAAATTTTACTGTAGCTTGAAATCAAGCAACAATAAGGGAAAACAAATGATAAATTTCATTACACAGAAATAAAGTTTTGCAGGACCAACACCTTTATATTCAAAGTAAAAAGACATGGTGAACTGGAGGAAGTGTTTACAACTTATGTTATACATAGCACATATGAAATTAATGTACATAAGGTTATTTAAAATTAGGGTTTCATTTTCAACAAATGGTGGTGGAATTATTGCATAACCATATGCCAACAAAGTGAATCTCAATCCTTGCCCCACACCATCTAAAGAATTTAACTCAAAATGTATCATCAACCAAAATGTACGGCAGAAACTTCTAAAAGAAAACATAAGAGAAAACCTACTGACCTTCACTTTGGTCAAGATTTATTAAATAAATAATCTTTGGTGAAGATTTATTAAATAGGACACAAAGATCAGGAACTTTTGAGGAAGGAATTCAGTGAATAGGAACTCATCAAGATTTAGAACATTTGTTCCTCAAAATTTAAGGAAAAGGCAAAGCATAAACTGGGAGAAAATATTTGCAAAACATACATATCCAAAAAAGGACTTGTACTCCATGCTATAAAGAAGTCCTGATGACTTCCCTGGTGGTTCAGTGGCTAAGACTCCATGTTCCCAATGCAGGGGACCCTGGTTTGACCCCTAGTTGTGGAACTAAGATACTGCAAACTGCAACTAAGCCTGTGAGTCAAAGCTACTGAGCCCACACACTGTAGAGAAGCCCGCACTACAATGAAGACATGGTGCAGCCAAAAATAAAATAATAATAAAATAATTTATTAAAAGTGATTTTCGAGTCTACTCTTTATACCATCTCTCTGGTATCAAATTGATTGCTTATATAACTTGTCAGTTGCATCAAAAAAGACTGTACTGCTGCTAAGTCACTTCAGTCATGTCTGACTCTGTGCGACCCCACAGACTTGCAATTTTTAATCTTAGCATTAAGAACAAAGTTTTTAAAAATCTGCAATTTATGTCACAAAGGGTTAACATAATCAGTTCAGTTCAGTCACTCAGTAGTGTCTGACTCTTTGCAACCCCATGGACTGCAGCATACTTGTCCATCACCAACTCCCAGGGCTTGCTCAAACTCATGTCCATTGAGTTGGTGATGCCATCCAACCATCTCATCCTCTGTTGTCCACTTCTCCTGCCTTCTATCTTTCCCAGCATCAGGGTCTTTTCCAATGAGTCAGT